AACCCCTAACTGTTCCCAAATAGCTGCTAGCAGACGAACAGGAAAACGCAAGCGGCTTGAAACTCTGCAATCAGTCCTCTAACAGCATATGAATCCCCAAGAACGAGACAAGGCTCTGTGTTGAGGGTCAAGCAGTGGTCTGAGGTGCTGGCACACCCAGCCTGGTTTTTATTACAGTCTTGCAAATACAGGACCGCCCACAGGGAGGTATAAAACAACCAATCACATCACAGCTACATCCCACATATTCCCTCCCCTTATCCTGAGAGGAAACTCAATTACACATACAGTTAAAACATACTTTCTACCCAACTTTCATAACTCTAAAACCATACATCACATTCACATAAAATTACATATTTGGAATCAATCCATTCAGGGGAACAACATATTAAAAAATGGCACAAATCAGACAAGGGGTTCAAAAGTTAGTAAAAAGTCCTTTGTGACTAAATGAAGCATGGCTTTCTGGCCCAAACCAGTTTCAGAGTCTTCTATCCTGGAGAGTAATTCAATTATCTCCCAGGACAGACACAAGACACCATTAAGCACATGGTTGCAAAAAGACACAAAACACTTTAAAATACATAAAGTCACATTTATTACATAAAACACAGACATGTAACATATCCCCAGATAGCTCAGGTCACCCAAATGTCGCTGGAATTGGCGGCGATCTCCGCAAACATGCTGACTAGGCAGGACAAGAAGGAGCTCGTGGCTGACCTCCGCGCAGCTATCCGGGAGGAGGTGGCTGCAGTTCGACAAGACCTCACAGCGCTGGAGCACCGGGTAGATGAGCTAGAGGTCCAACGTTTGCAGGCTGAACAACAGCAACAGGCGACCGACCTGGCAACCTCGAGGCAAGGTAACCTCCTTCTAGAGCTCAGACGCCAGGTGGAAGACCTGGAGAATCGCGGTAGGCGCAATAACATCCGCGTCCGAGGCCTGCCGGAATCTGAAGGGGAATCACCAAGGGAGATACTGGAGGGCCTGTTTACACAAGTACTGGGGGAAGAAGCACCACCGGATTTCGGTTTGGAGCGTGCCCACCGGGCACTCCGACCTCCAAGGAGAGATGGTCACCCTAGGGACCTGGTATGTTGCTTCCAATCGTTTCAGCTGAAGGAAACAATCATGAGGGCGGCTAGAACGCAGCGCACCATTACATACATGGACTCTAGGGTCTCCTTGTACCACGACCTGTCCCCCCTCACCCTCGATGCCAGGCGAGCTCTGAAGCCACTCACAGGCCTCTTACAGCAGAAACGGATCCCATATAAGTGGGGATTCCCGTTTAGCCTACAGGCCAGAGTGAATAACCGCTGGCTGGCAGTCCGCTGGCCTAACGATGTGCCCAGATTCCTGCGAGCGGCAGGCCTCCCAGAGATTCCTGTCCCTAACTGGATATTGGAAAATCCACCGGCCAGACCCACAGGCCCTGCAGTCCCAGCGGAGAATCTGATGGAAGATACCCAGCAGCATTCTCCGATACGCCGGGGAGGTCCCAGCGCCTCGGAGGAGTAGGTGGACAGCATGCGTCCAGAGGTGGGTCCCAGTGGGGGTCCCGGACTGGGCTGAACGCCTCGAGAGCCACAGAGCATTGCACCATAGGAGGGATACAGGCCTGCACGTAAGAGAGAAAGAGCGTGTTTGGACAATGACACTCAGCAAACAGGGTTTACTGTGAGCTTACCCCCAGGCCCATTGACCCATGGGGTACTTTATGAAGCCAGTTTCCCCGGGGGATCCACCACTTGGGCGGGGGACGGGAAGGGCTGCAGATAACAAAATGGGGACATTAAAGACCTGAGTCATGGCACATCCTACTATGCATGGCCACTGAGGGGGCAAAGCAGACTTGTGGAGGGGGGGCCTGGTATGACGGACTTGATATAGGGAGGGGATGGGGTCAACTGGGGTACAGCTGGGTCTATCTAAATCTGCATAGGTTGCCCCAGACGGAAAGCCCGGCACACAGTGAAGGGAGGAAAGAGCCGGGAACAGGGGGCAGGAAGGCATACGGAGAGATAAGGGGAAGGGCTGGCTGCATGGGAGGGGACCCCAGCTGCAGGGAGTGCTGGACAGGCCGCCGGGCATCGGGGTAGGAGTGAGGAGGGGGCCGGAACCCAGAGGGGTTGCAGCCTGGGGGAAGGTAGGAGTCTCTGGGGGCCAGCCAGAGGGGCCGCAGAACCCCAGGGAAACCAGAGAGGTAGGGGGAGCTTGGAAGCACGCCACTCCCGATCCGCATGGCCCGAAAGTCAGGGGCCCGCTCCCGGTCCCCAGTGAGGATGAGAGCCGGAGAGGGCGGGGACGACCGTGCACCCGGGGGCGCTAGAGGGGACCCGTGCATAGGCCAGGGGGGGGGCATAATACCGTGTTAAAATTGTTCTCACTTGTTACTTGTTGCATGTTGCATTAATTAGGAATAGGATAAGGGGACGGAAGGGCTAGTTGACCCACAAGCCCACGAGTGTAATGGAACAGGGTATCATGGCGGGGTAAGACGGGACTAGGGAAGGACGCCTGATGGCCAAGGGGGTGGGGGGCCTGGTCCCGGCGCTCTCCATAAAGGTCAGAATGCTGCAACCGGATCTGACAGGATACGCACACATATTTAGGGGGATAGGCCCCAGGGGAAGAGAGCTGGGGACGTGCCCGGGGCGACCAGTCCCCACACATCTGGACCGGACACGAGACGGGGACAACTTAACACTAGGACCGGCGGGTTGGGAGCACCGGGAGACGGACACGAACTCGACACACACACACTTTACATTGACAAGTGCCGTAGGTGTCCTTGCTCACACCCCACGCAACTGACCTGTGGTGTACATACTGGTCGGAGTTCGGTAGGACTGCTGACGAGCAGCTGCCGCACACCTCTATCCGACCAAGGTTCTTTGTTGCGTTTTGTGTCTTTTTTTTTTTTCTCTCTCTCTCTCTCTCTTCGCTTTTTCTACTTCCTTCGCCTTCACCCCCTCTACCCTCTTTCCCTCGCTCCCATTTTCCCGCTCTTCCCCCCCTGCCCCTTACTCATCCACGTATAAACATTTAAACCATGTCTGCTCAAACAGGGCTTGGGAGGGGCAGTCCAGTCTGGGGAGACGGGGAGAAGCTCGCTCCCGCACAGCTTAAAGTGTGGTCTAATAATGTGAGAGGCCTAAACACTCCGGAGAAGCGGTCCCACCTATTGCGCCAGTTGTGGGCGGAAAGGGTGTCCGTGGCGCTCCTGCAGGAGACGCACTTCAGGGGTCAGGTCTCCCCAAAGGTTGAGAATGGCCGGTTTCCACTAGGGTACTACGCCAACCACCCAGAGTCTAAGAAAACGGGAGTGGCGATTCTGTTCTCCCGAACAGTTCCGTTCCAACATATTGACACTATGAAGGACCCGGACGGGAGGTTTCTCTTCTTGAAGGGTACCATTGCACATCACACCTACACCTTTGCATGTGTTTATAGCCCTAACCGCAGACAGCATACCTTCCTGGCCAAAACACTTACCAAACTGGAAAAATTCAGGGACGGCGTACTGGTATTGGCAGGTGACCTTAACGTTCCTCTGGACCCCCGGATTGACACATCCAGAGGGACCAGCGCGGTCCCGGAACACAGTATACGCACAGTGCGGCGTGCCTTGGCGGGTATGGGGTTGGTTGACTGCTGGCGGGTAGCCCACCCGGACGACAGAGACTTTACCTACTATTCGTCGGTACACAGGCATTACAGTAGGATAGACTATGTCTTCATGCCCCAGGAGAGCCTAACGCTCCTTCGGGAGGCATCCATAGGGATTATCAACCAGTCCGACCATGCCCCGAACACGGTGGTAATGAGCTCGCCACTATTTAAACCGGTCGAACGCCATTGGAAACTTAATGAAACCCTGCTAACAGAGCTCGAGACACGCACCAAGACACTGCAGACGCTTACGCAATACTTTGAGACCAATGACACCCCCGACATGTCCCCACTGATGCTATGGGAAGCCCATAAATGCGTTATTAGGGGTCACTTTATATCTATCAGCACACAACGTAAGAAAGACAGGGCCCGCCAGATACTCGACCTCACGACTCGGATTGCAGACCTGGAGAGTTCCCATAAACATACCCTAAACGACGACACGTACCTACGACTTACAGAGGCACGCAGGGCACTTAAAGCACACTTATCTCAGGGACTCCTACACATGACGCGGAAATCAGCGCGGCACTTTTATGAACACTCAAATAAAACCGGCAGACTCCTGGCGCAAGCGCTCCGAGAGAGGCGTAGAATCCAACATATCCACCAGATACGAAACAGCCAGGGACAGATCACCAGACTACCTGAGGGCATTATGTCAGCATTTAGGGCGTACTACAGGGACTTGTACAACCAAGCCAGGCCCACACAGGGGATAGAAGCCCAACACCACCGCAGGAGAGTGACGGATTACCTAACGCAACATGTCACACGCAAACTCACCCCAGAGCTAGCAGAGGAAATTGACGCACCCCTGTCCTTAGAGGACCTAACCATGGCCATGAAACGCTCCAAACCACACAGGGCCCCCGGCCCGGATGGCCTCCCACTCACATATCTACGAACATTCCGTGACGCCCTACTACCCCGACTTCTGACGGGACTGAACGCCATACAGGATGGGGGACGGTTCCCCACGGACTCCCTGGCTGCGATAGTCACGGTCATCCCTAAAGACGGAAAAGACCCGTCAAACTGCTCGAGCTATAGACCAATCTCGTTACTAAACGCTGACTTGAAGCTATTTACCAAAGCCCTAGCCCTGAGGGTGTCGCGGATCCTGCCGGATCTCATTCACCCAGACCAAGTGGGCTTTATTCCGGGCAGAGAGGCCAGGGACGACACGATACGAGCCCTGAACATCATACACTGGGCTCGGACCTCCGGGAGGGACACGGTCCTCCTGTCTACAGATGCCGAAAAGGCGTTTGACAGGGTGGACTGGGTCTATCTGGACGAAACCCTACGACAGATGGGATTCGGTCCGGTTATGCGAGCTTGGGTGTCAGCATTATATACCTCCCCAACGGCCAGGATCCGCATTAACGGAGCCCTAACGCAGTCCTTCCCGATTTGCAACGGGACCCGGCAGGGCTGTCCCCTGTCCCCTCTCCTGTTTGCCCTCTCTCTAGAGCCATTTCTGGAGGCGGTCAGACAGGATGGGGGTATAACGGGGGTGAGAGTGGGCTCCGAAGAGCACAGAGTGGCAGCCTACGCGGACGACATGCTCTTCTTCCTGGAACAGCCCAGGATTTCCATGCCCAACCTTCTACGGGCGTTTCGCGTATATCACAAGGTATCCAACTTGAAACTTAACGTGGAAAAGTCCGAAGCTATGCCGATAATGCAGGGGGAGGAGCAGGCTCGCCAGCTCAGCTCTCAGTTCGCCTTCTCCTGGTGCACAACCAAGCTACGGTACCTGGGAACCTGGCTGCCGGCGGACCTAACGCAGGTATACAGGTTGAACTTTCTCCCTATCCTCTCAGCCATACAACAAGACCTTCAGCGTTGGACGCAGCGGTACGTATCCTGGTTTGGCCGCATTAGTGCGGTCAAAATGAACATACTCCCGAGGCTGCTATACCTCTTCGCGACATTACCCACCATGATCCCCCAGACGTTCTTCAACGCTGCAACAACAGCGATTAGAAGGTTCGTGTGGAACAACAGGCAGACGCGCATTCGCAGGTCAATCCTGGAGAGACCAAAAATAGCTGGAGGGATGGGGCTACCGTCAGTGATCTCGTACTACAGGGCCACACACCTCCACAGAATAGTAGATTGGCACGCGAGGCCCAGCACCAAGCGATGGGTCGCCATGGAACTGCAACAGACACGGGGTACTGTCCCTTCGCAGCTCTGGTTGGGGGGGGCCACTTTCACCGACCTACACACTAAAAACCCAATAATAGATGCCACGCTTCGGGTTTGGTGTGGGCTAAGATATGTCCATCAATTCACCACATCCCCAAGCCCGCTTACGCCCATTACACACAACCCGGGGGTGGCTGGAGGCCTTCACCCGGCTGCCCTACGTAACTTTCAAAGAACAGATTGGATCTATGTACGCCAGTGGAGTCCGGGGGGGACGCTTCAGCCGTTGGACGTCCTAATCGCGGACAGACAACCTACTGCACTGGACAAATTCCATTACTACCAAGTTAGGTCCTACTATGCCAAACTCACGGGGAGAGCACACCTTCAACGTACACTGACGGAATTCGAGCGACTGTGCACTGACAGACGACATCTAACCCACGGGGTATCCTATTTATACGGGCTGCTCCAACAGTCGGGGGATAGCAACCCACTAGGCTACACAAGCAGATGGGAGGGGGAGACGGGCACACAGTTGACGGACCAAGAATGGGATAAAATATTCTTCCTCACCCATAAATGCTCAATCAGCTCGAAACTACAGGAAAATAGCTACAAACTGTTAACAAGATGGTACATGACACCAGACTCAATGAGACATATACACGGGACAGACACGGGCGACTGTTGGAGATGTGGCTTAGAGAGAGGCACTCACCTACATATTTGGTGGTCATGCCCCCGCATACAACCATACTGGCAGATGATAAGGGCGAAGATCAAGGAAATTGCAGGGGATGACATCCCCCTACAACCACTACCGATGCTTCTACACCACACACCCACTCCCACGCAGGCTTACAAAAAATCACTGACTATACACTTATTAAACGCAGCAAAAGCTCTCATTCCACTGCACTGGAAGGGTCCAACAGTTCCAACTCTGAGACAATGGATAGACAAGGTGGAGGCCATCTATGACATGGAGATACTGACGGCCACCCTGCGAGAGCGCACGGATAAATGCGCTCTGACTTGGTATCCATGGAGGCAGTATATCTCAGGTGGGGTGGCATAAATCATGGAAGCACTGGTCCAACCAGGGTCACCGGGACCACGAGGGGGGAGACCTGACAAGTGGAGCCCAGGGGGCTCCCGAGAAACCGGGGCACCCCTGAGGGGACTGCTCCAGCGGCCCTTATACCTGATATCCCCACCTTTCCCCCTCCCCCATCCTCCTCTGCGCATACTATTCTAACTATTCTCTCAAACCCTGCACCAGATAGGTTTCGACAGACACATCCTCAGACGGTCAATTAACACAGCAACCCAGGACGGACTCGTCTGACATGGACGGATCACGTTGTCATAGCCGAGGAGGCTGCCATCCTCCTAGACATACAAGCAGAGGAAGGGCTCACGGGTACCAGACTGACCTCCATTTACCAGAGGGTAGTTGGTGCCTCACTCACACTCGGAGCTAGGTGACCCAGATCACACCTAGACAATAAGGCCTGGATGCTTACCATAGACCCTAGGACAGACCACTCATCAGGGTCGACAATTCAGCGCAAGATGCGCACCGTATGGTGCTCACGCAGACACGGGGTTGGATGCAATCCACTGTATTGACCGTAGACTGACAGACTTCCCACTTGACCACTACCGAAGGGTTAGGACCGCACGAGGGCACATTCCGGATTATCAAAGGCGGGAAATAATTGCGATTGTATTGAGGTTCATACATGTCTTGTATTAGGTCTTGTTATTCGTACTGTTTGACTTGCCGTATGCTTACGGAACTTATCGAAAATATTTTCAATAAATATGATTGACACAAAAAAACACTTTAAAATACATAAAGTCACATTTATTACATAAAACACAGACATGTAACATATCCCCAGATAGATCAGGTCCGAGCGCACATTATTAAGCGAATGGCGCTCAGACCACACGAATACAGTTTAATCGCCATGGAGCCAAAGTCTTTACAGTCAGTTTCATACGAATGGGCTCCATGGGATTCCTATCTGGGGTGTAACACATTCAAACAAATCTACTGAACCCCAGGCAGAAAAGCACGAATGAATCTTTTCTGTAGGTAAAAAAGATGTCTTTTAACAGGGGGCCATAGTCCAAAGGCAGCAGGCGAGCAACCAGGCTTCTCCAATGCAATGTGGCGAGATTGGTCTCGTCACACTCCCCCCCCTTCCTCCCCCAGTGGTCCTTACTCCCCACTCCTACCCCAGTGATCCTTACTCCCCACTCCTCCCCCAGTGGTCCTTACACCCCCTCCTGTCCTTACCCCCCCCTCACCTGGTGGTCCTTACCTACCCCCCTTCCCTGGTGGTCCTTACCACCCCTTCCCTGGTGGTCCTTACCTACCCCCCTTCCCTGGTGGTCCTTACCACCCCTTCCCTGGTGGTCCTTACCTCCCCCCTACCTTCCTGGCCCTTACCTCCACCCTCCCCTCATGGTCCATACCCCCCTTCCGTGGTGGTCCTTGCCTAACCCCTCTCCCCTGTGGTCCTTGCCTACCTCCCTCCCTCCCCTGTGGTCCTTGCCTTCCCCTCCCCCTGTGGTCCTTACCTATCCCCCTCCCCCCTTGGTCCTTACCACACACAACGACACAAAAGACAGAGCTTTGGGAGAATCAAAGGGTGTGCGTACGCTGAAGCAGATCCTTTTAAAGAGACCAAGGAGGAGCTACAATGAACAAGACCATCCTCTCTCCCCATTTAAACCACACACACACACACCCTTGACTCCTCACTCAATTGTACTTTGCTCCTCATAGTGTAAAGACCTTCAGTGACTATTCTGTTGTATCCTGATTTTGACCCTTGCCTGTAGCATCACTTCTGAACCTGTGTTGCCTGTCGTGACCTTTGGCTTCCCAGACTACTCTCTTTTGTACTGCAAACTTGGTCCATTGCCTTCAACGGTCCTCTGCATCTTGGGCTCTGTCTACTAAACACTGAACCCGACAGTGTTTGTGTATATGTGTGTGTGTGTAAAGGGTACATTGTGTGTATGTGTGTAAGGGGTGCAGTGTTCATGTGTGTGTGCGTAAGGCATGCATTGTGTTTGTGTGTATGTGTGTAAGGGTTGCATTGTGTGTGAATGTGTAATTGTATGTGTTTGGGGGGGTCAGATTATGTTTTATTTAATAAAAAAATATAATGTGTATCCCTTCCTTCCAAACCCTGGTGGTCCTAATGGTGAGTGAACTCTAGCCTGCAGCTCTTTGGACTAGGGTTCACTCTTGCGAGTTACCACAACAATACACCGATCTTGCAAGAGGCCACTAGAGGAGGAGTTAACCCTGCAAGGTAAATATTGCAGTTTATGAAAACTGCAATAATTACACTTGCAGGGTTAAGGGTAGTGGGGGTTGGCACCCAGACCACTCCAATGGGCAGAAGTGGTCTGGGTGCCTGGAGTGTCCCTTTAATGTAAGCCCACATATATTTACAAGCATTCAAAACCAACCCTTTTATTTTGTACAGCTATAAATGTAGGTTATTAGTTGCATAAGGTAGTTATATTTAAACATGTAAAGACCAAATAATCACTTAGAGTACAGCAAACAATACTGTTTTATAAAAATATGGTAAAGAAAATCTAACAAATTTTAATAAACATGTTCTAGCTAAACACTTGTAATGCCAACTAGACAATTATCCTTTGCATGACTAATCGTATAATAAGATAAAAAAATGTGGGCCTAGAGCACATACTTGCAGCCTTAGGAAATTAGTAAGGCTGGCTGTGCCCCTGTATTGCTACATTGCTGCAATCCCCAACAAACTCCAAAAACTAACTGCAAATCTCCACAAATGAGCTTCACAATAACCAAAGTAACCTGTCCCTCCTTCCAGCCTATTCCCTACCCATCAATCTGCCTCCTGATTCTGAACTGGTTAAACTGGTTTGTTAATTAACCTTTTCAGTGCTTAAAAATTGCATTTAAGCAAGGAATAACCGGTAAATGGTGAACTTATAACTTTGAGAGTTATGTGCGTAAAAGCACAAATATTGTGTTAAAATGGTAGTCATAATTCATGTCCTTAACAATTACATTCTGCAGAATTAAATTAAATGTCTAATGATATATAATGACATTTAATGGTATTATTCTAAAAAAGACTAATGTTATGAGTGATCAAACGTGAGAAATACAAATCTTCCATAAAGTTTCCCAAATGTGACCACTAGTGTATGTTAATAATCTAATTGACAACTTCAAATTGGCATCAGAAAACAGCCCCTGCTTCCCCACCTACCATTACGCTCCTCCTGCTCCCTCACCCACTACAAAACAACCCCTGCTCACCACCTACCACTATGCTCCCCCTGCTCCCCACTTCTACTAAACAGCCCCTGCCGCCCCACATACAGCCCCTACTCCCCTACCTACCACTACGCTGCCCTTGCTCCCCCACCAACTACCAAACACCCTTTATGATTAGCTCTTTGTCGTCTCTAAGACATCTTAGAGCTATTTGTTCCTTTTTAGAGAGATTCATATTGGGGAAAAAATCCAATGGTTTGATGCAGCCTCAGTCTCTCCAATTATGTAGTAATTACTTTAGCAAGATTCGTCTAACTCCAGGATTTATGTAACTGTTAGTAGCAGCTTATCAGATAAGAATTTATTCTCAGATAGCTCAGGTGTTCTCAGTATTAATCTGGATAGATTGGTGGAATTTGGGGATTATTGCTCCCAATATCTATTTAGACAATTCTTCTGGGTTTGAAAGTTAGATTAGTATTTATTTATTTTTTGAATTATTATTATTATTATTTTTTTTATCCCAGGAACAAATTTAACCCCTTTTTCCTTGAGACCTATGTTACACCTGAGAGTCAGATAGATCTAAACTAATTAAGACAGTACTAAGCTCCTAGTCAGCTTGCAACTTGCCTTTGGGCAATATAATTTGAGGACCTGGGGTTTTAGATTTTCATTTTTGGGCTCATTGTATACTCTGAAACTGCTATGTTTATGAAAAAATGGGTTAACCCTAGCTGGACCTGGCACCCAGACCACTTCATTAAGCTGGTGGTCTGGGTGCCTAGAGTGGTCCTTTAAGTGTGTGTGCATCTGCATGCACTGGCGTACATACCGCGGTCGCAGGGGTCGCAGCCCTGTAACCCCTGCGACCAGGTGCCCACCGCCATGTGTTGCGGCGCGGCCGGGCCCACGGATCACTTTTCGCACCGGGGCCCCATGGGTCAGGTGTACGCCACTGACTCTTTCAGTCTTCTATGGTAATTTATTTTCTCATTTACTACTAACCATCCCCTGCTCCCCCACCTACTACTGAGACAGCTACTTATTTTAACTGTGAATGTCACAATACTGTTAGCTGTTACTGCAATAAAGTTCACATATTTGTATTCAGCAATTTCTTACAGGTAAAACAGTATCCCCACTGTACAGGTTTTATGGTGTTTTGGAAAGTTACAGGGTCAAATATAACACATTAAATTTTTCAGTTTATACACATTGAAATTTGCCAGACTGGTTATGTTGCCATTGAGACCAAATGGGGGATGTCCAGGCTTTTCTAGTAGCCACTTAGTAACAAACACTGGCCAAAGTTAGCGTTCATATTTGTTTGTGTGTGAAAAATGCAAAAAACTAAATTGAACGCTAATTTTGACCAGTGTTTGTGACTAAGTGGCTATTAAAAAAGACTGGACATACCCCATTTGCAATACCTTGGGTTGTCTACTTTTGCAAATGGTATCATGAGGGTATTTCTCATTCCTGGGCTACCACACGGTCTCAAAGGCAACATAACCATCAGGCAAATTTCAATGTGAAAAAAAGGAAATTCAAGTCTTATATTTGACTCAGTAACTTTTAAAAACACCATAAAACCTGTACATGGGGGTACTGTTATACTCGGGAGACTTTGCTGAACACAAAAATTAGTATTTCAAAATAGTAAAATGTATCACAACGATTGTATCATCAGTGTTGTACTGTTTTTAAACGCTAATATTTGTGTTCAATGAAGACTTCTGAATAAAACAGTACCCCCCATGTACAGGTTTTTTGGTGTCCTAGAAAGTAACAGGGTTAAATATAGGGCTTGCATACTGTGACGAGACCAATCTCGCCACATTGCATTGGAGAAGCCTGGTTGCTCGCCTGCTGCCTTTGGACTATGGCCCCCTTTTAAAAGACTTTATTTTTGCCTGCAGAAAAGCTGTATTCGTGCTTTTCTGCCTGGGGTTCAGTCGATTTGTTTGAATGTGTTATACCCCAGATAGGAATCCCATGGAGCCCATTTGTATGAAACTGACTGTAAAGACTTTGGCTCCATGGCGATTAAACTGTATTCGTGTGGTCTGAGCGCCATTCACTTAATAATGTGCGCTCAGACCTGAGCTATCTGGGGATATGTTACATGTCTGTGTTTTATGTAATAAATGTGACTTTATGTATTTTAAAGTGTTTTGTGTCTTTTTGCAACCATGTGCTTAATGGAGTCTTGTGTCTGTCCTGGGAGATAATTGAATTACTTATCTCCAGGATAGAAGACTCTGAAACTGGTTTGGGCCAGAAAGCCATGCTTCATTTAGTCACAAAGGACTTTTTACTAACTTTTGAACCCCTTGTCTGATTTGTGCCATTTTTGAATATGTTGTTCCCCTGAATGGATTGATTGTGAATATGTAATTTTATGTGAATGTGATGTATGGTTTTAGAGTTATGAAAGTTGGGTAGAAAGTATGTTTTAACTGTATGTGTAATTGAGTTTCCTCTCAGGATAAGGGGAGGGAATATGTGGGATGTAACTGTGATGTGATTGGTTGTTTTATACCTCCCTGTGGGCGGTCCTGTATTTGCAAGACTGTAATAAAAACCAGGCTGGGTGTGCCAGCACCTCAGACCACTGCTTGACCCTCAACACGGAGCCTTGTCTCGTTCTTGGGGGGATTCACTGTATGCTGTTAGAGACTGATTGCCAGGAGTGTAAGCTGATTGTCTGCTTTTCCTGTTCGTCTGCTAGCAGCTATTTGGGAGGTTCCAGTTCGGGAGTTGGAGTGCTATTTTGTATCCAGTTCGGGAGTTTGGTGTTCTGCAGTAGCTGTGCCTGTATCTCTGGAAAGGGGCCGATCGCCTAAACGGTTTTACCCCTTGTGTGCAAAACGGTCCGTTACAATTGGTGGCAAGCGGCGGATCGTTCCCACGGACTACAGGACAGCTACAGGAGACACCATTTCTTTGGATTTTACAATTTGAGGGCAACGCATGTCCCAGTACAGCGACCCTGACAGCACCAGCATGGAACCAGCAGTGGAGAGTGACGAGGGTGCCATGGATGACCGAGATGCAGTCCGTGAAGGCATCTGGTACCAGGCACTGGGTATTGTGGAGTACCAGCGGGCAAGAGACTCCCAAGGAAGACCAGTTGCAGAAGTAGTAGCCCGCGGATGCCCTTCCTGGGAGAGCAGCCCCTGGAGGAATGGGTGAGGAAATTGGAACACCTAGTATGGCAGGAGTTGTGGCTAGAAGATGCCTACCAGGCGCTCTGGTGGTATGGGGCACAGTACCTGCCCTGGACAGCCGAGCATGACAAGCCAGAGGGAGAGGAGTTTGATGGTCCTGGCTTGTTATGGGAGGCTTTTTCAGAGCCTGAATTTGGGAGCCCTACACAAGCCCGGTTCAGTGATCTCTTGGAGTGGAGGGAGAGCAGGTATGACTGGGACGACACTCACGAAATTGAGCAAGACCTGGTCCACCTGGTAACCCGGGAGATGGAGCTAGAACAGGGCTACCAGCAGCTGTTCCAATACAGTGAGAAGGCTCAGCGGGAGAGCAGCATGACAGACCCAGAGCCAGACCCATTCAGAGGGGACGAGATGGTACAGTTTTACTGGGAAGAACCCCAGGTGGCCGGTAGAGATGGGACCGAAGTCTCTCCACCGGTCCTGCAGGGAATTGGGAGCCCAGTCTCCATTCCCCAGCGGCAGTGTAAAGTGCAGGGAGAGGAGAGCAGTATCCTCCCTCCCCACCGGCAGGCTGAGTTACAGGGGGCAGAGGTAGTTGTTCCTGCCCCCCAGCAGCAGAGTGATATGCCGGGAAGGCAGTGTGAAGTGCAGGGAGAGGAGAGCAGTGTCCTCCCTCCCCAGCGGCAGGCTGAGTTACAGGGGGCAGAGGTAGTTGTTCCTGTCCCCCAGCAGCCAAGTGATATGCCGGGAAGGCAGTGTGAAGTCCAGGGAGAGGAGAGCAGTGTCCTCCCTCCCCAGCGGCAGCGTGATTTTTTGGGAATTGAGAGCCCAGTCTCCATTCCCCAGCGGCAGTTAGATGCTTTGGGAATTGGGAGCCCAGTCTCCATTCCCCAGCGGCAGCACAGATCATTGGGAATTGGGAGCCCCGTCTCCATTCCCCAGCGGCAGAGTGTCCTACCGGGAATAGAGAGCCCAGTCTCCTTTCCCCAGCAGCAGGACTCTGTATTGGGAGCAGAGACAGTCGGTCTCCCTCCCCCGCAGCTGGAAGTATGTATGGGAGAGGAGCCTGTTATCCCCTCTCCCCAGCAGCAGCTTAATGTACCAGGGGGAGACAGTAAGCCCCACAACCGTGCAGATGGGACCGTAGTCTCTACACTGCCAGCACAGGGGGTAGGGACGGTCGGTTCTGCCCCCCAGCGAGAGGGCTGTTTAGCCAAAGGGGAGACAGTCGGTCTCCCCCTCCAGCAGCAGAGATGGGTAACCAAAGGGGAGACGGTCGGTCTCCAGCAGCAGCAGCAGAGCGGTGTATTTAAAGGGGAGACAGTCGGTCTCCCCCTTCAACAACCAGGCTTCCACCAGGCTACCCTCCCAGTAGCGCTGGCAACAGGGCAGAGTGCCGCTGGTCTCTGCCCACGCAGCAACCCACCAAGTACCCGTACCCAGCACAGCCGTGGTGAGGCACCTGGACATGGACAAGCTTCTTCTCTACCCAGGTGTAGTAACCATTTATTGTGAGTGGGCTGTGCTGTGGATTATTTGTTGTGGGTGGGCTGCTGGACTAACAAGGGCACTGACCGGCAGGAGGTCAGATACCCTGTTAGTCTGTTTGGAAAAGGGGAGAGATGTGACGAGACCAATCTCGCCACATTGCATTGGAGAAACCTGGTTGCTCGCCTGCTGCCTTTGGACTATGGCCCCCTTTTAAAAGACTTTATTTTTGCCTGCAGAAAAGCTGTATTCGTGCTTTTCTGCCTGGGGTTCAGTCGATTTGTTTGAATGTGTTATACCCCAGATAGGAATCCCATGGAGCCCATTTGTATGAAACTGACTGTAAAGACTTTGGCTCCATGGCGATTAAACTGTATTCGTGTGGTCTGAGCGCCATTCGCTTAATAATGTGCGCTCGGACCTGAGCTATCTGGGGATATGTTACATGTCTGTGTTTTATGTAATAAATGTGACTTTATGTATTTTAAAGTGTTTTGTGTCTTTTGCAACCATGTGCTTAATGGAGTCTTGTGTCTGTCCTGGGAGATAATTGAATTACTTATCTCCAGGATAGAAGACTCTGAAACTGGTTTGGGCCAGAAAGCCATGCTTCATTTAGTCACAAAGGACTTTTTACTAACTTTGAACCCCTTGTCTGATTTGTGCCATTTTTGAATATGTTGTTCCCCTGAATGGATTGATTGTGCATATGTAATTTTATGTGAATGTGATGTATGGTTTTAGAGTTATGAAAGTTGGGTAGAAAGTATGTTTTAACTGTATTTATAATTGAGTTTCCTCTCAGGATAAGGGGAAGGAATATGTGGGATGTAACTGTGATGTGATTGGTTGTTTTATACCTCCCTGTGGGCGGTCCTGTATTTGCAAGACTGTAATAAAAACCAGGCTGGGTGTGCCAGCACCTCAGACCACTGCTTGACCCTCAACACGGAGCCTTGTCTCCTTCTTGGGGGGATTCACTGTATGCTGTTAGAGACTGATTGCCAGGAGTGTAAGCCGCTTGGGAGCTTTTCCTGTTCGTCTGCTAGCAGCTATTTGGGAGGTTCCAGTTCGGGGGTTGGAGTGCTATTTTGTATCCAGTTTGGGAGTTTGATGTTCTGCAGTAGCTGTGCCTGTATCTCTGGAAAGGGGGCCGATCGCCTAAACGGTTTTTACCCCTTGTGTGCAAAACGGTCCGTTACACATACAAATTCTACAAATTCTATGGACTTTCTACCTGGGTTGTCAGGCAGGTCCCTCAGATTGTAATTAATAAAATGACTTGATTATGCAAAAAATATTATATAAATATATTTGTAGAATTTAAATATATATGTATATTTATATATATATATATATATATATATATATATATATATATATATATATATATATATATATATATATATATATATATATATATATATATATATTTGTTATTTAGATTTATATATATATATATATATATATATATATATATATAATATATAGATAGAGAGAGATATATATCTAAATATATATATAGATATATAGAAGGTTTGGCCTGTAATTGTGGGAGGTACATTTCTATGCCTATTTAAACCCCATGAGCCCCTTCTCACCTGTCAGCGACATTCCCGGAAGTGCTTTGTTTACTTCCGGTTCACGTGTTCCCGACATCATTCTCCGCCCACCGGCAGTGCTTGGCGTCTGCATGTTAATCCAGTGTGAGTGTTCGCGGCGAGGTCCACTTCTCATGAGTACAGCTCCCCCCATTGATGCACATCATGCTCACCCGGCACACATGCTCTTCCGGGTCCACAGCCCCTCCGATCACCGGGGAAAGGAGGGGGCTGGGAAAGGAGGGGGCTGGCTCACACACACTGACTGCCGCGATCCTCCGGTTCACATAGGTACGGCCACAGTACTTGATAATAAGAGTGTTTTATTTGATATGATGTTATAGACTGGTCTCCAGATATTTGTCTGCTTATATTACACGTCCTGCTTTTAATGATTTAACGATTATTCGTCATTATTGCTTACACTGGTCTTTTAATCATATAAGCACTTTGGATATCTATTTCACAGTTCTTTGGTTGTATCTGGCTACCTTGTTTATTATTAAGTGTAATAATACAGTCAAGTTCATTCATAGTACGGCTATTCCGCTCAGTTAGGCTTGTTTCAGTTTCATATGCCGGGTAGTCAGTCTGTTTGGCTTATGTCGCCACCTTGTGGTTTAACAATACTGGTCGGTAACTTTCTTTTAATATATTACAAACTTTTCATTTTGCATATATATGTTTCTTTGCTCTGGACCTTCATTTGGGTTATATTAATTGTCATGTATTAACTGCTGGTAAATCACTGTCCTAGCAACAGTGGTTAACTCAGGTCAAACAATGCTGGTAAAAAATCGTTCTCCATTAGGTCAGTTAAAGGTCATTACTAAAGTATTTCTCCTTATAGCTTATCGCGTACT